TTATTAGAGAGTTGATACTGAACAAACAATGACATTGCTTTTTAACTTCCTGCCAAAATTCTCTCTATATTGCTGTGTCTTTTCTGGATATACACAGCTGCTGTTTTTCTTTCAGCCCTAAGTATCAATTCAGGTTCGTGGCTATTTTTTGCCTTGATTCATTTTTTCATCCTTGATTGATATCTTTTGGTTCTTTCAAGGCCATTTTCCTTATTTGTGTGATCTGGCAGGAGGGTCTTTACATTTATTCCAAATTCTACGGTTGATAGCTAAATCTACAACATGAAAAGATAAAAGGAAACTTCTTTTTCATCTCACTTTTCTACACAAGATATTCTAAAGAGAAGCCTATCTATTTGTTGCTATGAATTGATTGCTTGGTTGTACTGAAAATCATGTTAAAATAATTCACATATATTTTTTCTTTGAATGATCATGCTGCAGTGTCCCCATTTATCTGTCCTTGTGCCTTACAGTCAAATCTATTCTCGTGGACTACAGTAATGAAGACTAGGCAGACAGTACTGGAGACTGTCAGGTTTTAGATTTTTTTCCAAAGTAAACAACTCCCTGGCACTGAAAGGGTTTCCTCATTTTATCAGTGCAGGCTGTTAATCACTCATGGACTACAAGGGCTGCTTTTGCTGTTTGTTTGCTCCTGGGTTGCTTCTTGTTGCTTGGGTTGTTTCAGCATATTGCATCATCCTGTCCAGAACTCATGCAGAAATGTTAGTAATTCATCTTAGTGTTTTCCTGTGTCAGTTGAGGTTGCAAACCAAACTAACATCGTTTTTCAAAATGCCACTTTAGGTGGCAAAGAACTGGATCTTGTAGTCCTTACTCAGCCAAAAAAAAATAAATAATCATGTTTGCTGATATAACAGTATTGAATCAGACTCAACTGTCTATAGAATTAGTGTTCTGAAGTTTACCACTGATTTCAGTTACTGTAGTTATTTTCTGCCGATGTTAAGAATGAACTGCACTACACTGTAGATTGTTTTTTACATGCTTGTAATATCTGAATAGAAATTTGAGATGTGAAATTTTATTTGCTTAGGTACAGATTCTCATTATATAATTGATTTGGAAATGTTTCAAACACTACCACTTTTGACTTGTTTGTGGTAGTAGATCCAGTCTTTAATACTTTTCCCTGTCTGGGGTTTGCATGACATTTTATTTGACCTGTAGCCTTAAATAGCCAGAATTTAGACTGATTTCTTTAGCCGGGTGAGGAGCTAGAAGGTAATGATAGTATTCAAATTTCATTAAATAAAGTAGCTCAGCAATGAAAATATCCTTTTAACTTGCAGACACCTGAAAGTTCACAGTCAACTCAACCCTATTGTTTACTCTAGAATTAATAAATACAAATTGTTCATAATTACCTACAATTTTTAGATCATGCCATTTTAAAAGTTAGAGGATACAATCTCCAGTAAAGCATGCCTTTCTCTTTGGATCCTTTACTGTTGAAAAAGGTTTGTTTTCTCACAACTGTGTTTCTCTTTTAGTGGTGTCTGTTGATGTAACAAGGTATTGCTGTTCTGTATAAACCTTGCCTTGCTTTGTTAGACTACAGTTAAAAATATTAGTCAGTCATGAAACACAAATCTGTAGAAAATTATAAGTTTCTTTTTCTAGGGAGAAAAACCCCCTGAGCTGTTTTTAAAAGGGATTATGACAGAGTTGCTGTTAAAAGTGTAATTGATGCAACTGAAACCATCATACTGAAAAACATAGCAACTTTTTAATTTAATGGAAAGGTTTTGAAAATGCAGGAAATGCTCCCATATCTTTGGGAAAAAGAAATGTCTTCCAAGAGTTGTCTTCCATTTCCATAGTGTCACAGGCATTAATTAATCTTTTCTCACTCAATTGACAGAATGATAACCTGTATTTTATAGATAGGTAAAAATGGAAAGGTCAGAAAACTTAGGAGCTAATTCTGGCAGGCTGCACTACAGTACCATTTTTGTTTGGAGAGAGTGGTTTTGAGTGATTCCACGGACTATTTCTCACTTAGACTTGTGGATTTAGTTTGAAAGACAGTTTTGGGGTACATAATGATACTCTCCAGTATAGCCTGCTCTGAAAGGAGTTTGACTATTTTGGCAAGATCATAGATTCCTGTGTAATTAAATAACTCCTTGAACTGAGTCATAGAAACAGCCAGATACTTAGATGTATTTGGTCAGAGTATTTTCTCAGCTGCCCTCTTATCCTGTAGATTCTTGTGTTTCTGCTGTTAGTCATGTTCACAGAGCAGATTTAACTCCCCAGGTCTTGCACCACTGTAGCTCATCCGGAAGGCTGAGGTTTCCTAAAATATGATTCTTGAACTCTTAGTTATTTGGCTGTCATCTACCCTAAGGTAGTTTCAAAAGTAACATTTGCATTGGATTTGTGACCTTGTGGTTTTATGGAGGATCAAAACCACCTATGTAATATGTGAAGCAGAAACTTGCTCTAGATTTTCAGGGTTCCAAAGAGTTAAAGCCAGTGCAAGACAAATTCTGAGTCATTTTTTCTCATTATCTTCCTATCTTTTTTTTTTTTTTGTTTTAAAAACAGATTTAGAGAATGTTCTTGAGCCTGTGTTTGTGCCTCAGGGAGTTGCTGGCTATGAAATAGGGTGAGGGAGTCCCCTTGGCCACTGTAAATAGATCAAAGGCCATACTTCACTGTGTCCAATTTCGAAATAGTGTTTTTTGCTTTAGTCCTTGCTCAAGTTGATTACTTTTAATATTCATAAGGTGGTTTTCTCATTATCTTTCTATCATATTTTCTTTGTTTTAAAAAGAGATTGAGAGCATGTTCTTGAGCCTGTGTTTGTGCCTCAGGGAGTTTCTGGCTATGAAATAGGGGTGAGGGAGTCCCCTTGGCCACTGTAAATAGATCCAAGGCCATACTTTACTGTGTCCAATTTCGAAATAGTGTTTTTTGCTTTAGTCCTTGCTCAAGTTGATTACTTTTAATATTCATAAGGTGCTATAATTGAGGCCATTAACTCATCAGTTCCAAAAATGAAAAACCTTCTTTCCTGATTTTTTTTCTCCAAGCAAAGCTGAACAGACTAACTTAAAAAAAGTGCAAAATGAAAGAGAGGATCTGCCTTTGCATTGAAAGGAGAATGTTAGATGAAATCAAGGTTTTTGTCAGGAAAGCAATTTGGAGGGTTTAATTCTTTACTTTGATGGGTCTGCTATTCTAAGGACATCAAACAAAAGCGGCACTGCTTTTCCACAGATATTAAATGAGTATGCAGTATTCTGAAGGTGTGTATAAAATACTTAAAAATCTAGGTTTCATTTACTGCATGCTTTAGCCAAAGCATATTAATGTCTAATTAAATGTGTGAACTGAAATTATAATGTATGGAGTCTACAGAGGGGAATCTCTTAGTAGATGATCCCACTCAGATGCAAGTAGTGAGCCATGGGAAAATGCCTTATGAATGAAATTATCTCCATATGTGACACCCTGTCTGTTGTATTTAAGGTAATTTTGAGGACAAAACTGCTTGGCTCAGTATTAGTGAAATTAGGAAATTTCTGCTAAGGTGGGAAAAAAGGAGTGTTTTGTACAAAACCTTTGTGATGTATCTCTGAGTGAAGTGCTATATGTAGGAGAGGTTTCAAAATGTACCGTTTCTATTTTCTACTACAGCCTGGACAGAAATGGAAATAGAGCAGTTTTTCCCATTTGGGAATGAGATCCAGAAATCCTGATGCTTCAGAGTATGCTAATCAATTAGTAAATTAACATGAAACATCATCTCTGTCCTACCCAAGACTCCTTGACTGATAACAGCATAGTTGCTTGTACTGTAAGAATGTGTAACATCAGAGTATTCTAGGGAAGCGTCTATGGTCCAACAGGTGTCTTACGGAAAACCTCAGAAGCAGAACTGACTCAAAATATGTGAATTTGTGTTCCTCCAAGTGAGTGTGTGCTCTCAGAGCTTATGAGAATGTAAATTAATTATACTGTGGAAATAGTGTAGATGCTATCTAAGTATGTGAAAACTGGTGTGAGCAACAATAGATTTTGGGTTTTTCTAAAGCAGGACATAGGTAGAGCTTTTCTGCTGTGCTAAAAGAAACATTAAAAGGTGGTTTAAAGTCCCTGTACTAAATAAATAAATGTTCTTCCCTGTTTTAGAGACAAGGGGTGGTTAGCTATCCTTTCTTAAGTATTGCTGTCATATATGCTGTAATTCTTTTGATAGTACGTCTGGGGAAAGCACACATTTGAGAGTCATGAACACCTGACTCCAGTTTTATAGTGGTGACATTATGAAATTGTGACAGCTAGCATAACTTGATATCTGTTGCTGACCTTTTCCAAAGATATTTAGTGTTAGAATGCTATTGGGATAATTCCTTGATTAATACCATGTGGAACTTGAAATTGCTTGATGAATCAGGGCCTAAGGCAAAAAAAATTAGAAACTGATGCAAGTGTGCATCAGCCTCAAGAAATTCAGTTTGGAAATTGGTTTAGATCATTATTTGTTGTCAGAAAAACAGGATTAGCTAGAGGCAAGACACATCTCCATGTGTGGACTGCTATTCTGATTTGTTTAGGTTGCTCATGTCTACTGCCCTCTGTTATTGCTGTTGTGTTCTTCTGTGCCTCTGTTTTAGATCCTTCTGTTTCTCCAGTGCAGAGACTTTGTTCTAGTAACCTGAACAGTATTTAATAAAGCTTGATATTCTAGGACAATTAAATTGTAAAAATTTATAAAAATGGCAGTGGATGTTTCATTTGCATTGCTAGACACCAAGGTGCTATACCATGGTTACTTGTTTTGTTATTTCCTTACCTTGGAATTGTGTGTATGGAGTAAATGAAAGGATAAAAGCTATTTACATTTGTTGATGCTGATTGAAGTTACAGACAAAGATATTACTTTCTACCTTTCATTTTCCCTTCAGAATACGGAAATATTCTGATTTTCTGTTCATCTCCTCCCCAGGGATGTGCAGGACAGATTATTCATGCTGGCCTTGTATGAATCCAAGTGATGTGGCTCTTAGCTACCACCATTGAAGTTGCTCTTGGCTTTCTACCAGCTCCAGGTCTCTTGATATTTAATTTCATACTGAAAGGAAGAATAGAACAAAGAGTAATGATAATCTGACATGCTTCAGGATGGCTGTTGCTTTCAGGTATGCTCTGAAAAAAATTCAGCTGTTTGAATTGCAGCAGTTGTTTCCTTTGGTGACTTATAATGATTTGAGCTCTTTGCCTGAAGATATTGTCCTAGGTACCCCTCTGACATGGGGTCATATTCAGTGTTCTGATTCTTCTCTTCAAAGCATCTAGGAGCAATGTGTTCAAGGAGGCACTGCTTTGATATGGTATCCAACTGACAATATTCTGCAATAGATTGTGACAAAAACATCAAATCTCTTAAGAGGCCAGTTCGTGGGCTTTATTGCTGATAGGATTGTGGTCAGCTGCAGATCTACTGCCTCTAAGATCCTAGTGTAAAACTCACTTCTCTTTAAAATAATTTTTCTGGTGTCAATGTGTCATAAAAAAATTAAGTGTGTGCTCTTTTAAGAAAAGCAATAGCCAGATGTCAGCAATGCTCTTAATGTGTGGAGGTGCCCTAACGATAAACTTGGTATCCTACCTGAACAGACAAACCAAAATGCCCAGAAATCATCCAGGATATAAAGCAGGTCAAGACCTACTTCACACCTTCCAAAAGAAGATGTAGATAAAAAGTCTGTCTTCTGTAAATGTTACAAGACTGAGCACTGCAGTAGTTTGTTATAAAAATGTATAAAGGTAACATTTAGCAAATGTTAATTTGCTCAGCTTTGAGACTAAACCAATAATCTTTTGCCAGTTAATTTACTGCAATTTGCTGATTCCCTGCTCTCTACAGTCAAAGTGCTGTGTGTTGCAACTTGTGGTTCAGTTCTTCTAGTTCTGTTTTGGTGGCTTTTGGGCACATAACTTGGCACTGTCTCTGGATGCAGACTGAGATGGGCTGTAAAACACTGTGCAGCCTTGTGTGCCTCTTGCATGGCACTGGGGAGGGAGAAACCCCCCCGGAGATCAAGTGCTGATGTTCAAATATAAGCTCAGTGAAAGCAGAACTCTTAAACATTCTCACAGTATAAAAATTGCTAAACAGAACTTGCCAAGAAAATGGAAAGTATCCTTCTGATCTACTGGTTAGCAATGAAGTCAAATTGACAAGCAAATGGTTCTCTATTCTTTTGTTTGTTTAGTTTCTATTTAGGTGTTGTGGTTTTTACACAGGAGTTAAAATGTGACGTGTAGGGTCATACAGTGTTAAAATTATCTATGGAAAAGATTGTGCCTCAGAGCATGAGGCTGAAGTAAATATTTGGAGAAAGTTGACGTAATTCTGTGGTATGTGTTTTTCTTGTGTTTTTCCTCTGCTCTAACCTTATTATCTGAAAGCTTAGAAATCTTCTTTCCCTTGGTCCTTTTCTTTTATAGTTGTGTATGAGGTTGTGGTGTTTATTTTTTTTGTTGTGTTTTCTCCTTTCTGGTGTGTTAGTTCTGTGTGGATAATTTTTCCTAGGTATCAATTGCATTCCTTCTCTTTTACTTGTCTTTTATTTTTATTTATTTATGCATATCTGATATTATATGCTCATAGCACCTTTTATGTTCCACAGCTGACTTCATTTTAATTTGTGAGAGATGCTAGGTCCACAAAAGGACCAAAATATAGGTGGATTGTATGGGCAACGAGACAGGGCAGTCAGTTTACAAAAAATTCCACAACAAATGTTGTCAGCAAATAAATATGTCCCAACACATCTTACTTTTATAGCATTTCTGTATATTTTACATGCTGCTCAATATTTATCAGTTTCACCAGCCTTTAAATGGGAACAATTGCTTTGAAAAATGGTTTCAGATTTATTTTTACTCTCTAATTAGCAACATGTCTTCTGCTAAAATGCTATTTTGTAACTTCAAGGATGATCCTTAGTAAATATGCCTTCTATGTCCCATCAAATAGTGGGAAGTGCCCAATTTTCTAGCAAACCAATACTTTCCAAAATATAATAGTGTCAAACCTTTCCTTCATTGGAGGAACATGGGAGTCAAAGCTGTAGCTGCTTTGGTCTCGTGGGGTGAAGGTTAGTACAGTCCAGACCTCTTTTGGTGGAAATTATAGTTTGAATCAAAGCTGTCAGCTCAGGTGTAAATAAATTCTTTATTCATAACCACTTATCTTACGTCCTTCCTGTGTGGGGGAAAGGATTTGTTGAAGGGTTTGTGGCATGGCTATGGCATATGAATGCCACATGTTCTGTGCAGTATAGATAAACACTAAAAAAGGAAGAAAAAAAGAGAGCTGGTATGAGAACTGACAGAGACCATGGCACATCTAGTGAAATGCTCATTGAGGTAATTCTACAGTGGCCATTTACACAAACAGTTTATTAGATATTCAGCTTTTCCTCAGCATTCTCATCTATCAGTTCTGAGTCTGTAATGTGCTAAGGCTGAATAAGCTTGCATCGAATGTGTGTTTAAGGAATACCATACAGCCCAATGATTTGGTCTGTTAGAGTTACTGACTTTCAGTTAAATGCAATTAGCAACCTTGACTGGGCTTGATGGACTGCCTTTGTGAAAAAAATCTTCATATTTATGAGGTAACTTGGAGCCATGCCACAAATACTTTCAAACCCTAGTCAAACATCCTCTTGTGCCCACTCTGCCTTTGTACATCTCAACCTATTCCTTACCTGCCATGTTTTATAGGAAGTACTCTATACATTCTTTTTTCATTTACCTTTTTTTTTTTTAGTTTTTCCATTGATTAACAATAACGTGCACTATGATCAGGACTTTACTTTTTAGGTTTTCAGTTCTTCTAGGATTTTGCACAAGAGGCATACCATCATATGAACAAAGAGTAATAAAAAAATGTTTACTCCTAATAAGGTGAATTTGGACCTTGTTCCAGTTTTTGACACTTATTGGCAATGCCTTTGCAAAATAGCAGTGTGCAGGATTGGTTCTGAATTTAGGTGACATAGGATATATTTTCAAGTCTGCGTTCTTGTTGGGATCCCAAAGATTAGAAAAGTAAATTATCTGGAAATTTAAGAAATAAAACTGTGATGGAATGGAAGAATGTGATATTGTATATATTCTGGATGTTTGTGGTATTGTTTGTAAACATGACCAATTCCATTTATGATTGAAATGAGACATATCTAAATCTACAGGGTTTGGATTTCCCTTTTTTTAAATGGGAAGCCACACACACTTGTTTTATTTAATTCCCTTTTACTATTCTTTCTTTTGAGTAGGTCTCTCATGACAGCAGAAACCTTACTGTTCTCATAAAGTACTTGTAGCCTAAATATTCAGAGTTGTTTGTCTTTGGTCTGGGAGTCTACCTACCTTTTCAATCCTCTTTTATATTATGAAATATTGAAGTTTTGAATGACATTTATCATCCTTTAGCTGAAGGAAGAAAATTCATTGCTGGTGATAAATAGATGCAGCCACACTGCTATTGCTGAAATAACATCTGCTTGTGGGACACATGCAGTCATCATGACTTTGATCCAATATTATTTTTTCTCTACATCAGTAGCATTAAATTGGGAATCATAACTTTTTTTGTTCTACATAATACTCTTAAATATTCTCAGCAATTCAAATGATATAATTTTATAAATTTGCATACGATATAAACTCAAATATGTATTCCTTTGGACTGTTAAATCCTGCTTTCAGCGTGAAGACAGATTGTTGGTGTAGTAAATTAAAGCTGCCTTACTGCAGCTACTTTGTCCAATGTTCTATCACAGACCTATATTAATATTTTATCCTCTTTAATATCATTACATGATGCAGGCTTAATTTAAATAGATTTGACGGGCCTCTTGGTTGGCTTGACAACCAGAGGGAAAAATTAATGTTCTGCATTTAATCTCAGCTCAAGGCGCTAAATTATTTTGGAGGTCGAAGCTGTCTTGCACATCATGCTAAATTATTGAATGTAATAACTATTAGCCTGGTGTCGATTGATAGATTTAAAAAAAAAATTGTTTACTTAATGTATCTTCAGCTAATTTTGAAGGGAACATCTTAAATTTTTCCCATGCAATACAGTACTACTGTATCTTTTGCAGATGCAGTATTGGAGGTTGTTTAACTAGCAACTAAAAAAGAGATTATGGATTTGGAAGTCTTTAAACTATGGGAAAAAAAGAGTTTTTCTGCTGATGAATTGTTTGGTGTACAGAGACTGTGTAACATACTCTTAATTAATTCAGTTCAAATATATTTAACTTTGAAAATTCATAAAGGAAAGAATTATTTTCATGTTTTTATTATTATTGAAGAGACATAGATCCCAAGGAGGAATGGAAGTGGTAAGCACATAACTTAAAAACCCCGGCTTAGAGCTTAAGGGCTGTTACCTGAAGAGTACCATATGCTTTAGTAAACATGTAATGCAGAATAGACTGGAAATAAAATAAAAATTTTATTAGCAATTGTTTAAAGACTGCTATTATAGGAGTCACAGTAAAGCTTAAAATAATGTAATTATTCTCACTGATGATGGTACATGTTTGAATAGTTTTGCATCTCCTCTGCTGTTCTGATTTGTTATGCTAAATAATGTCAAGTAGTGTGGTAATGCATCCTGAACAATGTTAGACTTATAGGTCTATTTGTTTTGTGAGGGCTCTGAGGAAAATTAGTATCTAGTGTGTATCACACACTCTTCTAAATTGCCCATCTTCTCTCCTGGCACAATAATCAGTTTCTCTCTGATCCCACTGTCTGTGTTTTATTCTCATCTTTTAAATCTTTATCAGAATCATTCAATTGCAATCTCTATATGATGCTTTGTGAAGTCAAGTTTCCCCGTTTCTCTGAAGTAACGTGAACTGTGACCAATGGATTATAAGGAACCATGAACATCTGGAAGACGTTCCCTTGCCATGGGTGGTAATGGACCATGGCAGTGGTATCACTGTACTGGTTGTAAGAGTTGCCACATTTATTGTTTAGATGTATAAAAACTGAGATATGTCATCCCTTGGTATGTCATTGATTCAAAATTAGAATACTTAATAAACTGACTCTTAGACATTGGTGTAACCAGAATACAAGGCAGCATTCCCTTTTTACTCTGAAAAAAAAGAAATGAAATGTATCCTTTTACAAAAGCCCATATAAAAATTTATTTTTTGGATTTGTTTTGCTTTGAACCAAGACAGCATGAGCGAATGCCTTTTTTTTTTTTGTTTGTTTTAAATATAGCTGTAATTTAAGCAGTTCTGCTGTTCCCTGTTTTGACTGCAGTAGAATTTTTGTGTCCTTAAATTTTCCTTTGGTTTTTAACAGCCTTCTATACTCAAGCCCTTATCTGTCTCACACCAACTCTTCAACTACTGCAAGTTCATTCTTGGAGCATAGGACTTGAAACTTTGCTGTAGCAGACTCTATTGAGTAGCCTGAATAATAAATAGGAATTGATAGATAAAATAATTGCCTTGGCATTCATCCACAAATGTCTGTAGCAAAGCTGGGGATGAAGACTTAGGCAGCTCAACTCAGTGTGCCTTGACCACAGTCTTTGTTGACTCTAAGGGAAAGGGTTGCGTCCCTTCACTTTAAGAGCCAGATTGTCTTCTCTAAGGATTTTCAGTTATTTATTACAATTTCTCTTCTTTGAGATTGGAAAGGGACATGGGAAGGAGATTTTTTTTTCTCTTGATCCCCTCCCCCTGCTTTTAAAAATTTTGTTATTTTTGATCTGATGATAAGTAGAGAAAATAATCCTAAAGCAAGCATGAATCCTTTAAGGACTTGCTCTCGCTTTTCTCTGCATGATCTTGGAAAAGGAGGGGAAAGATTGGGGCATGATTTTCTGATATATTATTACATCCACAGTCCTTCACTGTTCTTAATATATCTCTGATGGTAATGAATGCTAAGAATTTCAGAGGGGATTTTTGTAAAAAACCTAGCAAACCAACAAACATCCAAAACCCAACAAACCCCAAACCTTATGAAAAACAAAACTACACCCCCATGATGATTTTTTTTTTCATTAACATTATGGCTTCTTTTTTCTGCAGTCTTTTTCTCCTCCATGCATTCCAAAGGAATGCCCTTAGATTCCAGAAATAAGAGAGACTGTTTTCCCTGGTTTTATGTGAGCTTTGTCTTTTTCAAAGAACCTTAACTTTGAACTTTAATCTCAATGCATCTTAAAGTAATTTTTTTTTTTTTAAACCAAAGGTATTTGGTAGTCTTGAAAGTTAGGGGTTTAGGCTTTTTTTTCCTCTCTCCACCCTCTTTACCCCCCATAATGGTTTATTTGCATGCTATCCAGGCATCCAAGTGGATGGATAAAGAGGCAAAATTCTCAGCAGACACTCTGCATTTAGCATCCATGTGTATGTGGACCTGTTACTGCAGTTAAGATATGTTCCAGCATGGGCTCGGTTTTGATCCCTGCCTGCATCAATGGAGAAATGAAGTGTCTTAATTGCTTCAGGCTTCTGGGACCAGTGCTGATCTTTTCCTTACAATGTCTTAGTTACTGAAGCATATTTTTTTCAGACCTCTTACTTACTGTTTTCTCTTTTTAGTGGGCTACAGAAAATTCAAAAGATTTGTCTTTTAAATAAAGATTTGTCTTTTGCAATAGTGTTCTGTGTGAGTACAGCTGTACACATACAGCATCCGTACAAACAGTAGGAGCCAGTATATGCTTTGTTTGTTTTTTCACAGCTTATTTATTTTTATTTGGTCTGATTCACTTAAAATACATCTTCCAGAGAAGATGTATTTTTTCCTTAATTGTAGTTTCTCCTCTAAGTCAGATAGCTTTTCCTGCAGAAATTGCTGACTGATTAATAATAAATAGTAGAACCTTGAATCTTGGTTGCCTGCTGGGAAGTATTACTGCTAGTTATTTTACTACCTTTCTTCTAATTTGTATCTTAAGATATTATTTCCTGTCATATTTCTATTCTTTAAATTCCTGATCTGAAATGGAGATATAAAGACAGCCCAGTAACAAGTTTTATAACTATATAAAACATATAGTTTTAGAAATGGAGGAAATTCAGTCTTTAACCAAGATTATAAATAGTCCATTGACTCTTTTATTCATCACAACCTGCCTTTTGCTGTGCACTTTCAAATACTGATGAAAAAAATCTATGTATGTATAACAGGCTAGAATAGCTGTCTGAATGCAATATAAAAGTCACAGCTTTCTGTGCTGCCTTTGTCACTCTTTTCCAATGAATTAACGTGACATGCCATTGTTAAACAGTTGGAGGATGTCTTTGTAAGCAGATTGGAGCCGGTCCTTCAATCTTGTGGGCAAAATTGAATGAACCAAGTATGACTAAGTAGTCTTCCCTTTAGTTTGGTCAGTTAATGTGGTTTTAGTTTTTCTAGCCTGCTTCTAAACAGTGTTTTTCAGTCATACCACATCCATTTGGCTGTGAACATGGCTACAAAAGTATCTCAATGGAATTGAAAGTATCTCAATTCTCAATGGAATTTTTGCCTCATTGAGACTCAGCTTTAAATAAGTTGGTTGGGAAAGGGCTTGAGAATGCCAAGTTCAACCTTACTTACTTTAAAGTCAATGATACTTTTGCTCTTAGCTTCCACAAGATCACAAACATTGTACAAGAACATGATTTCTCAAACTTCTTCACTAATTAAAAATTGATTTTTGGCTTTGTGTGGATTAAAGTTGCTACATACAAAGTTGTAGGTGGTTTTGTGTTTCCACACTGAAAGCTCAGTTGCCTTACAGCTTGTACAAGAACTGAGCTGGGAATAGTGGTAAATCTAATTCTTCTTTAAAAACAACAAAATACTGCCAACAATTGTACAACAACTGTGTACACAAATCTCTTGTTCCTGCAAGAAGTTCACTGAATGTAGTATAAAACTTTCAGAATCAGCATTAACTACATTTTTTACCCCAGACAAAATCCAAGTTCTGACCGCACATCAGCTTTTGTTGTTTTTTTTTTGGCTAAAACTCTTAAGTTCTTTTTGGGCTGCCAGTTTGCACTGTCCATGATGATTTAAATTAGTTCTTCCCATAGGAAAGCAAAAAAACACCTTCTGAATTTGATTGTTTGGTTGTTCTGACATGGAAAAACATGCTAGTTGTAAACAGACTACAGAAACACTGGTACAGGATGTCTCTCCCAGCATCTGTTCAGCAACATTTGGAATTTAAGCAGATTTGTTTGATTCTGAGCTGTTGCAGTTAAAATTTCTAGGTAAAGAACCTTTTTGTGTGACCTATTTTCAGTTTAAACACTGCAATGAAGTTCATGGTGAGTTAAGAGGAAGGTCTGTCTGGACCAGAAACTTACAGTACTGTTTTACTATTGAGCAATTCTAATTATTTCTTTAGTAGATTGTCAGGAATGAATTATCTTAATATCTTTTTAATTTTATTTTTCATTTTCCAGGCAAGTGCAGGCTGACAAGTGTACAAGAAGCCTTCAAATCCATAGTAAGAGTGATGTATGGTGAGTGTATAACTTGAAGGATGTGAAGCTAAGACTGCCTAAATGATATTTCAGCTAAGCACTCACATTTAAAACTCATCCAATGGGGCTGCCATTCAACATCCTACTCTCCTTTTCCTCATTGTGTCTTGCCTTGCAGTGGGGAGAGTACAAGTTAATCAGCAGGTGAGTTGTTGCTTGTAAGCTGTGAATCAGAGGGATGGGCTGTCTGAGGAAGCTCTGGACCCGCAGGGGGATATGAGAGATTAGACTTGCAGCTCAGAATGGCTCAGGTATTTTTGCTTCTGGTTTTGCACAAGGCTATGGACTAGATGCCCCCCTTAAAGCACTGCCAAGGCTATTTCCTGATACTTCTGGCTCAGCCATGTTATACCTTATGGTAAGCACATCAGTGTGGGTCAGTGCAATATAACAGGAAGAGAACTTGAGCTTAATAGAATGTACTGAAACCAGTACAATGTATTTCTGTATGTTGTTCAGCAGGTAGGACATCTGTGTGTTTTTAACTTTCTACTATTGTTGATACACATTGTGAGGTTGTATTTGTTCAGGTTATAGCAGTGAATTGACAAATGGAAACAATAGGAAAAGTACAGTTACCTCCTCATAATACATAAAAAATGTGATGCAAAATGTTGCATGGACTTAATCAATGAGGCTGTCGACGAGATGTGAACCAGTATCATTAAGCCATTGACCACAAGGAAGATTTATTTACTTGCTTGTCTCCAGTGCAGCAATAAAATATGTGGGTGTCCAGAAACACATCACAGTCATTCTGCTGTTGTGGTGTTACAGGACATGCTTTCCCTTTAAGTACACTTTTAAACACAGTTTTTAATGATTATGTGCTTAGTTACTTGATTCCTTAGCTTAAATAATTGAAGTAGAATATGCAGATAAACTTGTATCACTTGTTTGTAGGTGGAAGCTGATGAAAATCCTTCTTGTTTTGCAATTTTTCCTGGGGAAAGTGACAATATTTTTCATATTTCCAGGAGCAGCCAGCCTCTTTTCTATGCTGCTGTTCAATAAGATGAACTAAGCTCTCTGAGATCAGCAAAAAAGATGTTTGAAGGACATAGACTATTAAAAAGGATTAAAAAAAGTAGCTGGCTGCACATTTTAATACAATAGATATTTTGCTGGTAAAACATTCCTGTATAAGCAATTCTATTGCTTGAAGTCCACAAACTTTTAATGCTCCTTTCATTATTTTCTGAAATTTCACATCATATTTACATTTACCTAGAATTCCCATTGAATAAAATCTAGTCTGCTTTCATTTCTTAGTGGTGATCCTCCTATGCAGTCTTACCTTCTGTTGACCTACATTTGATGTGCAGCTCTCTTCTGAAAAGCTGACACTGTCTGTTGAAAAACATCATTTAAAATGGACTTACTGCTCAGCAGAGCCTCTTAGAGTGAAAAGTCAGCAAAAAAACCCCCAACCAAACATTTCTGCTTTTTCTATGCACAACTTGGAGGTAATAATCTTAAAAAAGAAATACAGGACATTTGCATTGCTTATTTTTCAGGATTGGTTGTTGAGCTTCTGAAGATCACGGAAGGGTATAATTGCAGAAGGTGTGGTGGTGATTTCACAGGCCCCAGCAAAGTGGGGTTGTGAGGTTTATACCAGCAGAAAGCCTCTCCTCAGCTAGTTAAGATCTGTTTGAAGGCAAATGACACATTCCATCCTTTATGCTGCATAAGCAGTGCTGGTGAGTAACATTGGAACAGGGCCTGAAAGATGTACCAGATTTTTTTATCTTTCCTGGCTGGCTCATTTTTCTTTGAAGGAAGCTTATTTGAAAGTGGCATTTATGTATGTATTGACTAGCAAGGAACATTCTGGATGGAAACACTAGCAGCTGTGGGGCTAGAGACATTAATTTCTTCTGATTTTTTGACTGTTAGCTTCTCTGTAGGTAGAGTAATACTATTTCAGTATTAGTTCTGACTCTGAGTTTTCTTTAGACATTGTAAGAGTTGGAAGTAGAAACAGTAGTACATGGGAAAGAGAATGGAATGAGAAACTTTTGAGTATCTTAATCACAGCTTACAACCAGAATCACTGGAGATAATTGGAGAGGGATCAAGAATAAAAGTAGTCTCAAGCCAGTGAAGTTATGGAAACTGATTTAATAGTACAATGATGCAAATCCATTTATCAAACTGTGGTTAAGAAATGGTGATGATGCTGTGCTTAGTGAAAATAATTTGCTGAGCAGGATTAAAAAAATAAATAAGTTGGATGAACTTTGAAGATATTTTGCAAGATTTGAGACTTGCTCAAAGTTTTTAAAGTAGGTGAAACTCTTAATTGAAACCATGTTATATTGGAGCACCACGGTAAGAAAAGACTGCCAGAATATCCTTGGGATGTGGAAAAAGCAGTGAGAATATGCATGCTGCAGAGTAAATCAGGTTGTAAACTGGGAAGGAAAATAGAACAATGATGTCTTTGAACATAGAGAGGACCTTATTAAAATAAGCTTGTAAAAAATAATGCATAAGATTTTGCATATCATGAAGAACAACCTGTCTTAAACTGTGTGCAGACTTTGGAAAGATAACTGTGAGAAATGAGAGGTGTACTAAATCTGAAAGTAAGAATGGTACCTGAGGAGGAACAAAATGTATTTTTTGCAGCAAAAAACAGTGACTGGGACAAGTTTTCTGTAGACCTTTTTATCTAGTTACCAAACAATCACCTTGAACACAAATGGAACTTGGATGCTTCTAACTTAGCCTAGTTGTGCAGAAACCAATACTCTGTAATGGAAGCTAAGATAAAGGATGTGTGACTGTGTCACACTGGATCGGGTGGAGTTTGTCTTCAGTTGTGCAGTGGGAGGAGCATGCTTATCAAGTATGTCTGTGAGCTAAATGGATTTGCCTCAGGAAACAAAACTATGTATTCTAGGACTGAAAAGAAGCCAAAAATTATTTCAGAAAGATATGCTATCATAGAATAACATTAACTGTTGTATATAAAGGGAAGAAAATGGCCAAACTAAGTAAAAATACAGGAAATACTCTAGGACAGATCAGATTTTCAGAAAGGACATAAATGAAACCAAGGATAAAACTGATATTTAGCTTGGATCAGTGTAAGAAAGAATTGTTACCATGTTTAAAAAAAGGTGGAGGGCTTGGTCTAAAATAGAAGCATTTTTGCATCCAATTGTTACTCTATGGTCTTTCATATGGTTATTTCCACATTCAAGAAATAACAAGCCAGGGAGCCACACCTTAACATGTTTGAGCCCCAGATTGTGTGCTGAATACTCAAGGTGCTAACTGTCCATAATAGATGTGTTTGAGCAAGATGACTTGCTCTATCAAAATACAGGCATCCAGGGGCTGTTCTAGTGTGTGGTGCTGTCAGCTGAAAAGCTGCTTCATGCAAGATGTTATCAGGTTCTTGGTTGTGAGGTCACTCCTGTTACAACAGAAGACACCTCAGCCAGATCCTGTGCTACAGTGGGGGTTGATGTGACCTGCTTAGCTGAACTTGAGGGCACCTGGTGACTTTTCACCACTGGAGATGTTAGAGAAGTATCTGGAACTTCAGCTACCCAAGAGGGCATTATGCATGGGGAGCCACATGGCAGGAGTGTGAAGGGCTGAGCAAAACATGGGAGGTTAAATCTGCAGAGGTGCATCTTTTAATATGGATGGAACTGCCACTGACTGCTTGATGGCTTTGATTTGTGTGTTGTTTTATCAAGACTCCTTTCTTCCAAAAGAAGGGAATGATTAGAGCTCATCAGAGCCTGACAGATGGAGTTCCTTCCCTGCTTCTCATGTTTCCTTTTTCAAAAGTAATCTTGGTTTATGTGCCCAATAAAAATATAAAAAAAACTTGGAATAATCTTGTAAGTATGATTTTTATTTCTTGGTTGCTTTCACCTAAAATACTGCAGACGTATTCTGTAAGGCTGGTATCTAATATTATAGTGCTAATTGGGTGTGTTCTTTCCTCATTTGTATTTCCACTTAAATATCAATGAAGTGCTTTGAAAATTTAATCAATGGTAAAAAAATATTACATCAACTTTTCTTCCATACTTTGTTTTTCTATTAAAAAACCCAATAAATATTGCTTCAGCTGCTAGTTCTAAAGTGGCTAACTGCTTCTGCTCCTATAAAAAAGAGTAATGAGAGACAGATGTGGAATCTTTTTACCTCTCTTCATTATTTTTAATTCTAATGGCAATTCAATTTGCCTGAGATTAATTTGGCCTGTGAGTGGTCCCACTCAAAGAGCAAATATCAAGCTAACTCTTGAGAGAATTTGAAACTGTGTAGTCTGGGATACTTAAACATTTCCAAGTTTCCACTTTTCTTGAGGATAAGATTTCTCCTGGCCCATGAGGAAAAGCCAAGGAGTTCTGAATTTTATACCACTGTTTCCTTGATCCTCTGATACAATAATTTGATGGTATATCTCTAATGTGGCTCACCGAATGCTTTTTGTACAGTCATAGTATACAGAAATGCAGAATTCCACAATTTCAGACTCGGGTAACTTAGCAGAAGTTTCACCTTCTATTTGATGGCTTTTCTGACATACAGGTTCTGACAATAACATTATGATCACCATTCCCCCCCACAATGTTCTACATTTAGACGCATTAAAAATCTGCATAGATACTAGCATCTAGAACTTTTCCTATTGCTACCATTATCTCATTTAGCTTTTTGACTTTTTTTCCAAACATTCGAAACTGTCACTTGCCATCTCATTGCAGTGGCATAGCAGGAAAAATATATTTTCTCACAAAATCTGAACTATGATAAATTGACTTATTTTTTAATAGGAAGCATGATAGGGCTGCTAGACTGCATAGCATATTTTTACACATTGAAAGCCATGCTTTAAGCACATATTGCTGCAGTTTAGGCTGTTGGAAAAAATGTCTGAGTTTTGTTGTTCTGAAGGTTTATTGACAGGTCTTATGAAGTACCAGCAATGGCATATTCCACTGTTCAGTGCAAGGAAACTGTTAGAAGATGAGTTTAAAGAGGAGAAAGCTCAAGGACTGCATTTATTTTCTTTGATTCCCTGGATATGCGTGGTCTTGTTGTGCAACCACGGATATAACAGAATACCTCTCTCCAGGGAAAGAAATATAAGATGCTGGTTCACATACTCTGGGATAGAGGAAATGACAGATAGTGGAGAATGCCCTTATTTGCAATGGTCTGGTCAGATCTTTTCATCATGGTTCTCATTCAGAGACCTGTAAAATCAGAAATGACCAAGTCATGACTATAAAAATCTGTATTTTATAAGTGCACTTTACAGTTTGCTCAAGCTGAAAATAAAGAGTGAATTTCATCTTAGAAAAAGCGTTTGAAAGGATGTTTTGAGAAAAATTATATGCAAATATGATTGAGGTTGATAATTAGCTATAAATGCTTGTCTTCTGGGAGACTGAACTAGAGTAGAAACCAGAATGCCAAAGACTATCCCTGAAAAGGTTATAAAACATCAGTATTCTGAGATCTCAAGTGTGGTGGTATTTTTGGCTTTCATGAAGATTAGTTCATTTAATTATATTTAATTTATTGATTGAAATCAATTTAGTTGATTTAATTGTATTTAATTGCATACTCAGTTTCTTGTTAAGAGTCTTTTGATTTATTAACAATTGTTGAAAATATTTGTCATACCTAAGATGAAATTCTGTCCACAGAGATGAGTGGCAGTATTGGCATGGACTTGAAAAAAATGATCTCTTATCTACTAGACCCTCTTGTAAGAAGTAATTCTATTGTATTAAAACAAGGAATCAGTGAGCCAAATTTTCAGTGAAAAGATGAAATACTTGTTAAGTCAGATGTTGGTTATTAATATGTTAACAGCATGGCTGACTTGAAAATAATGTTAGGTTGCTCAGTTCAAGTGTCAGAAGCCAAGAAATAGCAGTTCTTAATCTTGTGGGTACATAATATAGCAGTTCCTAATTGGGTTGATATGTACTGTCTAATCATGCCATATGATGTTTAGCTGTCTAATTTATTGATTTTTTTCCCAAGCTTTTGTTCTTTATACCATTCACAATTCATGGTTACATGCAAAAATCTGTGATGTATAGAATCCAAAAGAAATAAGAAGGCAAATCTTTCTTATGGGGAAAAACATACTTTATCTACAGAGATCTTTTTATAAACTTCCTGCAAATGGATCCTTTTCTTTCCCAAATAATTTATATTGCTGCTTTTTAGTTTTTACATCTTGCTTATAAAATTCACCTATAATTAAATAAAGTTATTGCAGTTATATTATCAAGATTGTCACTTCATGCATGTACAGAAAGTGGATTTGTATTGATAGTTTTCTCATGACTCCAGCAGTCCTGCACTGGTGGTTTTCTGTGATCTGCAGTATCTTAAAGGGAGGTGAGGGTAAAGGTGGGAATAATTACTTTGCTAACTTAGTGGGATTTTATGGTGCCAGACCACCATCAAGAGACATCTAATACTACTGGAATGTGTCCCCTCTCCTCAAAACCCCTTTTCCAAGCAGCGTTAAGTAGTAGAGATTGGTTCTAATGCTCGTATTGAAGTGAATTGTATTGGAATGTTGAATAGAAGCAAGAAGTGAGAAAGACATTGATTTTTATCCATATTCACAGT